AAAAAAAAGAATAATGTTCATTCCTCAAAAACTCGTACATTATGAAAGTTTCGAACTCGTTTTAACTATGCGTATGAGCATCTAGTAACTTTGCGCGGATTACCGGATGCTACCGTTTCCCAAAAACTGCGCGGCAAAATTAAATTCAAAGCAAAAACGCTTTGTCTACTGGATTACGGTAGCTGACTGTGATGGTGCAAGCATTCAAAAACTTGCAAAAATTTGAAAGTGGAGAGGGGGGAGGGTCATTTTAAACTAGATTTTTCTTTGTTGTGAGACGGAAAAAATTAGTACTTTCATTAGCACGATGGTAAATTACTGCTTACCGCTCACAAGAATTCCCTTCATTTCCGAATTGTCCACAGTGTCATCGACGTAAGAAGATCCTTCAACCACTGAAAATAAAAGTTTCCACGGAGGTAAAGTTGATTACCACGCTATTTTATATTTTCGTTTCAAAATCTACAAAACATTACACCTTTTTATACCCATACATGTCCAAGAAACTTACCATTACAAAGTATAGTTCCTTCATAATCAGAACCACTACCTGAATCCCTATGTTGGGTCCCGATATTTGATATATTATAGGAGACCATGCTAAATTACGATTTACCAAGTATAGAAATTTATGGAGAAAGAAAGTTGAACCTGTCACTCCTCCTCACTGTCAAAAATTCAGCATAATCGGGGAATTTCATCATAATATCCCTTACACAAACACATTTCAATAAAAATGCACGAGTGTACTCGCTGCTGGCCATACAAAATATATAAAAATTGAGGCAGTGATTCACTACTTCGAGGAGATTGGCAATATTGCGATAGAGCTGAATGACAAAGAAATTTATGAATATAGAACAGTTACAAAATTACCTGGAATCCGTACACATTTTCCATGGCTTCATTTTGAAAAACCATCACAAGCATTTGAGGCAAATTTCCAAGAATATAAATTACACATATAACAACCATCAATGCTGTGAGCTTCTTTTCGGAGAAGCTACGAACTAGGTTCGATTCTCGGCGAGATCTGTAGAGCAGCATCAGAACTGAATGCGTGCCGGCGATCGTGCTAGCATCGTGCCAGCGCCCAGAGCCGTGTCAACGTCCTGAGCGCCTACAAAGGC